ATTGAATTTATGGCACCCAAAATGGGAATTATGGCACCCAAAATGGGGATTGTGGGGGCTAAAATTGAATTTATGGCACCCAAAATGTGAATTACGGGCACTAAAGTTCGATTTATGGCACCCAAACTGCGATTTATGGCGCCCGAAATGTGAATTACGGGCGGTAACATTGAATTTATGGCACCCAAAATGGGAATTATGGCACCCAAAATGGGAATTGTGGGGGCTAAAATTGAATTTATGGCACCCAAAATGTGAATTGTAAGACCTAAAATTGAATTTATGGTGCCCAAAATGTGATTTCTGGCACCAAAAATGTGATTTATGGCACCTAAAATGCGATTTATGGCACCCAAAATGCGATTTATGGCACCTGAAATGCGATTTGTAGACACTTAAAATGCCATTTATGGTGCCTAAAACATGATTTCATGGCGCCTAAAATGGCATTTAGAGCGCCTAAAGTGGGATTTATGGCACCCAAAATGGGATTTATGGCGCCCAAAATGCAATTTGGGGCACCCAAAATGTGGATTATGGGTGGTAAAATTGAATTTATGGCGCCCAAAATGCGAATTCCACGGGCTAAAATTTGATTTACGGCTCGCAAAATGCCCTCCCGGTCCCTCCCAGTGCCCTCCCAGTCCCTCCCAATCCCTCCCAGTCCCTCCCAGTGCCCCCAGTGCCCGTACCTGAGTGGTGGGTACCTCCAGGGTGCCCGTCGGTGCACGTAGTTTGCCAGCCACCACTGCACCGTCATGTTCCAGCGCCGGAGGCCCCCCCGGAAGCGGCGCCCGACCTCGGTGCCCCAGGGATCCACCGTCTGGATGGTGCTGAAATCCCACTGGTCAGAGGGCACCTGGGCACACCTGGGCACAGGGGAGACACAGGTGAGACCCCCCACTCGGTGCCCCAGGGATCCACCCTCTGGATGGTGCTGAAATCCCACCCATCCATGGGCACCTGGGCACACCTGGGCACAGGTGAGACATGGGTGAGACCCCTTCATGTGCCCCCCTGTGCCCCCCGTGCCCCTCACTCACATTTTGGGGCGCTCCCAGGCCATGGTTGGTCCTTGCCCGGGTTTGGGGTGGGCACTTTTGGGGTACCCCCCCATCCCCGCCGCCATGCACCCCCTGTACCCATAGCCCTGTGCCCCCCGTGCCCCCCACTCACATTTTGGGGCACTCCCAGGCCATGGTTGGTCCTTGCCCGGGTTTGGGGTGGGCACTTTTGGGGTACCCCCCCCAGCCCCGCCGCCATGCACCCCCTGTCCCCCCTGTGCCCCC